TTGGTATACGAGGTAGAGTACGAAAGTAGGTTGGGTGAATGATTGCTTTGGAGATACGGGTTTTGCTGCGAGAATCTAGCCTGCAATTGACTCTATGTTCGAGTAGTAACTTTGAATAAAGCTGGAGAACTTTTGCCAGATTACAGTTTCCATTTCCTGTCGAATTATTTACAGAGATTTCTCGAGCATGGAGCCCTCAAAACAATGAAAGACTCTCACTTCCTGCCTTTTTTCAGAATTGTGAGATGAAATAAAAACGAAAAATTATCCCAAAATAGGGTCTACGCATCATTAAGCCACCGAGTTCTTCTTCGCTTGGAAAAAAAGTTCTATTTCAACGCCCTCTCATTTCAAAAGGAGAGCAGCGCAACTGGAAGTCCATAAAAACAACAATGTTGCGAAATAAACTACCAATTATAGACTAAAATGCCGGAAAAATTCACTAAAAAATAGAACGGAAGCCAAGTGCGCCATCGATAGCCCTGACCACTAGATGCAAAGGCACTGTTTATGCACTAGGGCGTTGCAGGCAGTCCCATAAACAGCTGACAATGCCCTCGAATCATTCATCATTAGGGCTCCGCATTGCTACACTGCCCAAAATCACCTCACTGAGAACCACAACAACAACAGCGTCAACCCAGCACCTAGAGCATAGCCCAGAACAAAGCTAAAGGAACCATGAGGTGGGGGGGGGGCACAGATGCCGTCAGACTTCGCATGGTGACCTTACGTCACTCAATGAAGCTTTAATGAAAAAAATGGATTAATTCCTTCTAATCCAGCAGAAGGTAGTGGAATGACAAGGTCACGGAAATGTAGGTAATACACGACCGCTTTTTCATACTTGAATGGAAATTCTTGTAATATTTTTCGTTTTTTTATAGAAAATTATGTTCCGCTTTTTCTCCTGCTCACTACCAAGAGGCTCTACCTCAGAAGTAAACGGGTCCCGTAACTAGACTCCTGTCTATTCAATTACTTATGAAGTTGACACAGTCACGTGAACAGCGGCCGCTTGATGCACAAATTACTACTTCAAGGAGCGCCTTAAAAAGTTAGCTAGACGGGCTACCGTGTCGGGCTTAATTCGCAAGAGAGAATGCATGAAGGAAAGGATCCAAAGAAGGCCTTACCAGTTACTAATCACACAATAATTAAAAACGAGCTTTTGCGCTTGACAGATTCATATTCCTCGCTATTTTGACCTGACACTCATTTAGCTCCCTCTATATTCTTTGTCAACGTCTTGGCCTCACTACGATTCATTTCATGTCATTGTCGTTCGCTCTCATCCCTTGAGGGCTTTAATTTCTCGTTGAACTGATGACTTTTGCATGATGGTCCCGCGTCGCCGCTATATTATTGGCGTATTTACGGCCGCATGTTCCGAAAGCGAGCGCCTGCTTGCCCAAAGCAGTCCGGAAGTGCTTTCCGTTTCCGCTAAATGCTTGAACTCTTCTGTTGACCACCACTACGTCCTTCGTGAGGTTAACCATCGATCACACATCGATCATAATCCATGCGAGCAGCTGTTTTGGACGCGACCTGGAAATCGTCGGACTTGTCCTCAATTGGACAGCGAAATCTGTCCCTTGGTCCTTAGGAAGTGACATCAGGAAGAAATGGAACTGGAGCATAGCAATTCCACGTGGATTTTTCCAATGCAAGCATTTACAAAGCGCTCAACAATAGGTTCCGCCAGGTGTCCAGGACCAGAAGTCTCGTAGTAGGTATTGAAGCCGTTTCAATCGAAAATTCACGAGATTTCCCCAGAACATCCCTACACAGAAAGATGGAATGTGTAAAAACCAGGGCACATCATTGGATTTTGATGGGGTCTGCACGACCCCGTCTAAAAGGTTGCCTTTACAACCCCTCCCCCCTCTTTCAGATCCTACGCACCTTTTTCTTAGATCATACAATTCCTGCCACTTTTCCAGGATTTTTCTGAATCTTTCGAAATTTTCCTCGTTCTCCCCCAAAATTGTCGAGCGGGGCGGACAAAAGTCAGCAACCGGGAAATATTTTCCCAACATCATAAATTCCTCCCAGAAGGCAATTACTCCCCCCCCCCCCTCATCTCATCAGCCAGACAACGAGCAAGTACGACCTCCCCTCTCTTGTAACATCCGTGAAACAAGAAAAATCAACTATCAAAAGGAAAACTTCCAAACCTAGTACGACCTTCCCCCCCCCCCTCCTCCCAAGACCAAATAGAATACTCCCTGTTGGGAATCTCCAACGATCATGTGCCCGATGGTAGAAATCAATATCTATGGACATACTTCAAAATACCTGTCGAAACTGCAAAAATGGACAGACGGTAAGGTGCCGACGTCATCACCGCAAGTAATTACGCTGCATTCAAAGCGAACGCCAGACCCATGCCGGCCGAACAAAAACACCCAAAAAATCATGATTGGGCTCAGTTCTAGTCGAGGGGGGGGGAACAGCGTAAAATAAACGGGATTGAAGCAGCCAGGATGCTGCTTCTGGAACGAATAAATGATGCCACGGAGCGATATTTCGTTCAGAAATTACGTATAAAATAACTTTTCGCATATACAATGTATATACTAATCCTTGAGGAAAGGAAATTTGCCATTTCGTAGAAGGGATGATAGCTATGGTCTACACGCCACGATATAGCAGTGTGTGACAACAGGCCACTTTTAGGACCACCAGAAAAAGCGTTCCGTACGGAAGAATATTGAGTAGGAAAATAAAGGAGATGGGGAAAGCTGGAAGATTCAAGCAAACAGACGCTTGTTACAGAACTCGAAGAAGTAAACTCAGCGCCATTTCAGGTCGCAAAAATGAACTCCTTATGACACATAGGTGCAGTGAGCGTTTCGAAATAATCCCAGGCCAGTGCTCGCTGTGCCAACGTACCCTGCCATAATTAATTCATTCGGCTACGTTTGAAGTGCTGGAGCTTTCGAAACGTGCACCGCCACCCCTTAATCGCTCACTCACCCAGTCGGCAACCACTTCAGGTAGAAGGCTGGAATAATGCCAATTTACTACATGGTTCAAACTCCCTTTGACGGTACTTCTGTTTCACTATTTCGTGAATCTCCTATCTGGTTACCAGGGGAGCGAGCACGTGAGTGTCACTGTCACTACAGTATCAAGGGAATGTTACTGTAACGAGAAAACCGTCCATATAGGGATGTCCTGTCGCTGGGAAAGTTTCTTGGAAAAGATGACCTTCCTCTACCGAAACTTTCTGCTACGATCCCCCACTTCTTCATCCGCCTGCCTAACAATTTCACTAAAATCCATAACTATACCACCAACCCTCCCATAAAACAAAGACAAGAGCTTTGGTCGTTGACGGGAACACACTGTAACCTTTTTGGATTTTTTCAACTTAAACTGAGACCATCTCCCCTCCTCACGTGGCCACTCAGACTTCAAGCAGTGCATTGGCAATCCCAGATCAACCTCATACTTATGTGGGCTACCATAAAATGGGAGCTGAGCAACAAGTCTGGCAGGCTGCACAGGTTACCCAGAGTAGGGGGCCGGACAAGTCGGAGTTCAGATTGTCTCAGCGTTGTCAGTAAGTAAGTACATTGACCCTATGCGGCCTCTCAGAGAAGTGCTTATGGGTGTACTGAGTAATAAATATTGAACACATCTGCGCGAATAAGAAGAGCTTGCAAAATAAGCCAAAATTGAGGTTACGCATAAGTTCGTCTGCGGTCTTCGTCAAGGTTCAACATCAAAAAAGAGGCATGCACCAACAACAAAGCAAAACTCGCGGGCGATGTAAAAATGGGCCAACTAATCTCATATACGATCATCACTACATGTGTGAAATGAAGGGAATGGCGATAATTTCATGTATGACCAGCTGCGCTACGACTGTCAGCAGTTGAGCAGCCGTAGAGGAGCGCGTTGTAAACGGAGGCACAGATACAGTAAAACCCGTCACCCAGATGGAGGCAAACGAACCAGACAGGACCAGACTAAGAAACGAAAGTCTAAGGAAACAGTTGGTTTTACCTGACAAGCTGCACCACGTTGACTGGTTCGACATTGCTGTAGCAGTTGATGAATGTTTTCCTGTTCAGCAATTCGTTTTGCTCGACTGTCTATGTTGGAAGGAGGAGGAGCGAGGGCCTGAAATGAAACACATGAGATGGTCACAATGGGCTTTACGCTTCACTTTGCGATGTTGAGGATAGCAGCGTGTTGCCAACTACTGCAAGCAAAATTCCACTCTTGTTAAGTGTGATTTCTTTGAAAAACAAACGAAAACGCGCAGCCCTTTGAGGGCGCCCAACAACTACTTTTGATATCCTTCGCAAAATGGTACCCTAGCTCTCTGCTGTAACACGCTCGGCGTCCTCTCTAGCCCAATTCAATGTAAATGAGTCCAGAATATTTGTCTGGCCTCTTTTCTCGATATTCCTCTGATTTGGTGGTTCAAGCTCAACTAGCTGATGTCTCAAATGGGGAGGGAGAGGGGAGGGGCGGTGTAAGGGACAGATGCGGGACGGTCTACAAGACCAAGGAGAAGATCACTATTCCCTTCCAAACGCCTTACCCTCGAATGGAAACATTCTACAGCAGACTATAGGAAATTAAAACGTGGAAATGGAGCTTGGGTATGCAGTTAGAAGGGAAATGGGAAAACCGCAGGAACGAGTAAAGATTGTGCAATGGAGGAATTTTTTTTCAAAGGATTACGGTAAGCCATGTGACCGGTTTTTGCTGTATAAGGCGAACATAGTGGCATTGCAGGAAATATCAGGGAAGGGTATCGTTGGAGAGATGTGAAGAGAGACCGACTGGACCATTCCAGCGTTACTTGAAGTCCAAGAATAGACCAGTTTTCGTCAACCATCAAGAGTTTGATCTTTTGGCATATTCGGACAGTTTTCGCCTATACAGAAACTACCCGGATTCTGACACTGATGTTCTGCCATGTCAATACTACAACAAAAGTATTCTAGCCCGTGTTGGTGCTATTACTCGGAGATGAAGATGGAACCCTAAAGCTGCCCAAGTTGCGTCTGAAACCAATCTGTTGATTTCGCGGCCGCTATTCCAGGAACAAAGAAATACGAGCAGCATAGCGACTTTCAGCAGAGATCTCAACAACAACCAAAACAACTAAATAATGGATAATGTCGGGGAAGTAAGGCTTTCTGAAGGCATAAATAAACCACTCTTCAATGGAGCATAAACAATAATCTTCACGACTGTGCATTTCGTAAAAGTCACAAACCTTTCAAAGTGCTTCTTGTGAAATTTTGGTAGTCACCAAGTTTCCCATACGTTGCCGCGACGGTGGCCATCGGGTGATCCCTATAAAACGAAAATAAAGTCGGACGAGCACTCAATGACATCTGGGCATCAGCAAAATCCCCTCCTGCGTCATTCGCCAAATGGATCTGAACCGACGAGGTCATTGAAAAAATGGACTCAGTCTTGCCTAATTATGTCGAGCGCACGAGACAGCTATCGTTTCGCTCTCTCGAGGGACAAACCACATTGCAAACGTGTGTAAGTATAGGTGAAAATATTGACGAGAGAGTTATTTCAGAAGAGAATGAACATGGCCAGTGGCTTGCCCTAGAAAAGCTTCCCACAATTGTGAGAGATTTTCAAGGGAGGCTCTCACAACAAAGGTTGGCGTATTAGACTGCGGAGTTCGCTCACGATATCTATTGTTGCTGCTAACGAGACGATCATGCTCGTAACTTTGGTTCGAAAGGGTGCTGCTTGCAGTTTGCTAACGACGTTTTGTTGTAGGAAAACTATAGTTCCGAATAGTTAGCGTGAAAGTAACCGAAATAGAATTTTTTTTCGAGTTTTGAGAATCCTTTAGCATCACTGATACCGAAGTTTTCATCGTTTTGTGATTACACATGTTCCGCGCCTTCACGCCACTTTGTTTGAATCAAAATTTCCGCCTTAGGAGGATGGACAGGAACTATTCTAGGGCACCTCTAAAACCCGTTAAAATGCAGCGACTCCGGCTTTGAAACTCTTTACGTTCACCTTACTTATAGGTCCTTCTCCTACTGTCTACCACATTATCAAGCATCTCAGCTATTTTCTATGAGAAAAACAGTCCAACAATCAAAGTAATGCCAAAAGAGTTTTCTTGACTCAAGAACTTTTCTTGATAGTGAGCGAATAAGGCAAAGCTTATTGAGACAGCAGGGCTTTAAGGGCGTGTTGCTGGAATGAAATATGTGTCAGACTGACTCTCCCATGTTTTTTTGCCAATGAAGTGAAAGATCCGGAAATTCTGGTCAGGGTCAGCAAAAGTAATGCCCGTTCATTTGTGACCCACAAGGAACAACTTACATTTCAGTTTAACGCTATGCTTACTCCATATCGTGTAGCTAGGGAGGGCGTGGCTGTGTACCACATTTAGACATGCTTCTTCGTGGGATATCCTCACTCGATACAACTTCCAACCCGTCTTGTGCTGGACAAAGACATGGTTACAAATTCCCAAAACGGTAATATCCCAACAAAAGCGCAGCCGTGGTCGCGTTCAAGTAGACTAACTACCGCCTCTGCAGATCTTCGGAGTATGTTTGTGACCAGAAGTGGCCTAATTTCATCCTCTAAGACCACGAAGGTCTGTAGTCGGCTGATGAAACAGTGTTTGAACAGTGACAAAAAAGCAGGCATTTAAAAATAGTGGTGTATGGCTTATTCAAATTCTTCTTCTAGGTGCCGCTTTCATAGAAATTTGCCTAGTGCTGCTAGAAATTTTTGAAAAATTCGAATGCATGCACAATTTTAATATTGGAAACGTCTATATGCAGATTTTTGGAGATGAAAAAGAAGCTGATTCTGAAGAAAAGCGATCATTCAGACACTGGTGCTGCGTGTTTCGTATCGCCAATGTATAACTGTGGTCCTTGATGCTGCGTGTTTCAGAGCCAATGTATAATTGTGAGAAAACGGAGTTAGAAGTAAAAAAATAGGGATAGAGTTAGGAATCTGCCGAATCCACTCATGTTGCGACCGTTCGACCTCATAGTAAAATAGGGGTTTAACTTGTTCGGAGAAGACAATTAAATGAGGGAAACAAAAACTAGCGATCACAAGCAGGTCACGTAATCGCTTGGACGTATACTCCATATTCCGACGATATGGAGAACGTGGCCGCGTACTACATTTGAACCTGGGGTGGAGACGGCGCATTTGGTGTGATATTTCGGCAATTGTCATCATGTCCTCCTACAGAATAAAACAGGATGATAGTTGTCTAAAATGGTAATATTCCACGAAAAACGATCCCATGTACGCCATGTTCAAATGAAGTATAGAGCCACGTCCTCTTCATTTCTAGATGTCTGATGTATCTGATGGCAGCGATCTGGCAAA